CCCTGAAAGATCACATTAGGGTCCTCTGACCAGAAATACTCACATTGTACTATGATGTGAGCAAGTAATAAACTCCAAAATACCAGAGATTTAACATAATAGATATTTATTTCATACAGCAGCTGGTGTTATCCTACTTAATATACTATACTATTTTTCCTTCCCACTCTGCTGTGCCCTTTCATATGCATGCTGGAATATTCTAGTACTTCGAAAATGGCATTTCCACTCTAATTTACTCATGTGAAGTGCTTTTCCCAAAAGCAAAGACTTTCTGAAAGTCATCTCAACTGAAGAAATACAGCATTTTTTAAAAATACGAATTTTTGTAAAGCTAGCTGACTTGGGTTTAATTAACATGGGCAAGAATCCCTAAATTAAAGAGGGTAGCTAAGAGTGGTAGTAAATTACTAATATTTTTTTCCTCCTCCATTTGGAGGTGAGGGAACAAAGGCAAATATAATATTAATAAATATAGCTAATAAAAATAAAAAGGAAATACTAGCTTTTAAAAACAGTATTTGCATTTAATAAAAGGTTTTATACTTTCATTTATTTCTCATGACAACCCATGAAGTAGGCAATGCTGGTATTTTAGAAACAAGCTGATGTAGGCTCAGAAATATATCATGTCTTGTCCAGACACACATTGCTTGGGAGTGGAAGAGTTGGTTGTCTGAGTCTGCATACTACTCTACCATTCTATGTGCTACCCAGCCTTAATATAAATTGAAAGAATTATTAGATATATATTAATGAAGTGAAAAAAGAAGAAAATTGTATGTTTTACCTCGTTATTAAAAATAAATCAAGGTTTTTCTTTTTAGGGGGGCAGGGAGAGAATTAAAATGCATAAATAAATGTCTAAATCCATTATTTTTAAAAAATCTGGTAGTTTAGAATGATTGTGGTTTAACCCAAGGTTAAATTTTTGTACTTACTTAGTTTCTTTTCTTCTAGGCTATCTACTCTTATTTGTATATATTGTTGGCACAGAAATCAATAGTTACAGCATTAATGTTTTTGACCCAGTAGAAACTGACAAGGCGTGCTTGAGTGGCACAAACAGTTGAGCACTGACTACTAGCCAAAAGGTTTGTGGCTCAAACCCACCCAGAGGCACCTCAGAAGACAGGCCTGATGACCTGCTTCTGAAAGGTCACAGCCTTGAAAACCCTATGGAACAGTTCTGCTCTGCACATGTGGGGTTACCCTGAGTCGGAATCGACTATGTAGCAACTAACAACAGAAATTGACAAGTTGGCATTTAATTTAGCCTTGGCTTTGAGAATTTGCAGTTAGAAAAGCTCATTGGGGGCATTAAAAGTCAATTCCAAGCTCTAGAAAGGCTAAGATAGATTCAGGGTGAATAGATTCCCATCAATCCTAGCAAAACAAACAAAATGAATTAAAAATTGGTAATATTAAATAATTATTAAATATTAAATAAATATTAAATGATTACTGCTGCTAAATATTAGTAATAAAGGTAAACCGTAATCTCCTCAGTGTCACCTGGAAAATGTGGATGATGGTCCTTGTGTGGCAGCTATACAGGGTTGTTAGATATGAAAGTACTTTGAAAATTGTAAGCACTGTGAAATCACAAGGCAATATATTTTCCTATGAACCTAAGGAAAATCATGCTAATCCAGGCTTCTCAGTCCAAGCCTCTGAGAAAAAGCCAGGTCTGTCTATCACAAAAGGAGCACTGGTAGCAGAGTGGTTAAGTGCTCAGCTGTTAACCAAAAGGTTGGCAGTTTGAACCCATCAGCTGCGCTCCTTGGCAGAAAGATGTGGCAGTGTGCTTCTGTAAAGATTACAGCCTTGAAAACTGTGTAGGTCAGTTCTACTCTGTCCTATAGGGTCTCTTTAAGTTGGAATTGACTTGACGGAAATGGGTTTGATGCTTTGTTTTATTTTATTTTATTTTTTGGTATCTATCACCATGGCCAAAATCCACAATCTGGGGAAGTTCCCTTTGTTTCAGATAAAGTACTTAGGATGGAAGGGCCTGGGGTGTGCTGACCCTGCGAGTCCTGGCTCTAATGTGGACAAATTTCAGTCTCTCTAGGATATATCTAGTGCATTTTTCCACTAGGACTCTGTCTCTGCTTCTTTCCCGTCTCTTCTTTCTTTTTTAAGGTATAAAGAAAAAAGTAGACAAAAGTCTTTCTTTCCATGGGTCACTGACTTAATTGAGGGAGAACTTAAGCCATTATTTTACATACAAGTTATATTGATGATTCTCCACATGGAAAGAGCCAAAGAGGAGTTGTTTATTTAGTAACAATCTAGAATCTAGAGTCTGGGTTATTGTGTGGGAAGCTGGCTTTTCCCTACCTGAAAAGGTGGCCTTTCCCTTATAATTAAAAGAAAAAAAAAAAGCTTATTCCTCTATGAATATGCAAATTTGCTTATGTTAACTGAAAAGGAAGTCTCACAAGAAAAGAACACATTAAATTTTTTTTCTTTTATTTTTTGAAACTGGGTCAAGCTATTCAGACTCAAATGAGGAAAATAAATCAAATACAATTAAAGCCTGATCTAATGTGAGTAAATAAATTATTGACCTTGCAGATAATTTGCTGTGACCTTCATCCATCTATGTCTGCAGTTATCTACCTATTCATCAAACAAGTATTGGGTACCTACTATATTGTAGGGGGCCCTGGTGGTGCAGTGGTTAAGAGCTTGGCTGCTAACAAAAAGTTCAGGAGTTCAACTCCACCAGCAGCTCCTTGGAAACCCTATGGGGCAGTTCTATTCCGTCCTATTGGGTTGCTATGAGTCAGAATCGACTCTACGGCAATGGGTTTGGTTTTTGGTTTTACTAAGTTCTAAAGCCATATTAAGTGCTGAGGATAAACCATGGATAGTAAATCACATGCCCTGCCTCCATGGACCTTACTGACAAGGAGAGAAGAGTGGTGAGAAAACGCTATGTGACAAGAGCATAACAGGGTGTTATGGATTAAATTGTGTCCCCTCAAAAGATACAATGAAGCCTTAACTCCTGCTACCTGTGAACATAACCTTGTTTGGAAATACAGTCTTTGCAAATGTAATTAGTTAACATGAGGTCACACTGAAGTAGGGAAGGTCCTAATCCAATACGACTGGACTATGTCTTTATAAAAAGAGAAGAAGAGACACAGAGACAGACACACAGGCACAGAGGAAGAAGGCAATGTGATGATAGAGGCAGAGATTGGAATGATGCACCTACATGACAAGGAACACCAAGGACTGCCAGGAACCACCAGCAGCTAGCAAGAGACAAGGAAAGATCCTCCCCTAGAGCCTTCAGAGAAAGCATGGCCCTGCCAACACCTTGATTTTGGACTTTTGGTCTCCAGAACTGTGAGACAATAAATTTCTGTTGTTTTAAGTCTTCAGGACTAGAGGTATATATAGCTACTACTTATTTTTATACCTCTGGGGTTCATTGAGAATCTACTTTCCCACTGACAGCACATGCTGCTGGCAGGCAGGGCCCTATATAATAGTTTGAAATGGAAAAAACAGGCGTCTGCTGCAAATTACTGTTTTGACAGGGTATTGTATAAGGTGGTGCTGAATCACTGAATTTTTGGTAGGAAAAACAAGAATTTTGAAAATTTTTATTTGGTATACATATATACCTCTGGACTCTGGGGGTAGAATTTGTGTTCACAAGAGGTACACATATGTACCTCTGGACTCTAGGTACGATTTGTGGAATGAGGCATATAACAAAAACTATACTACCTACCAAAAATTCAAACACACTCAATGATTCAGCATGCCTTCCATTACTGAAAACACATAGTAGTATTAACAAAAAATTAAAAGGAAAAAATAATTGAGTCACAAAAGGGTTAAGTCACCCAGGTTGTACCCAGTTTGTTACTGTAGCCCTAATGCTCAGGGTAAGCATCGGGCACTGGAGGAGCCAGGGTTCCCACAGACGGCTACTCAGGCCAAGCCCTGGGCACCACTAGCCTGTGGGAACAGCACTCCCGGAAGTTGTGCAGCAACAGCCCTGGGAGAACACAAAGGTTGAGACAGAGAAGGCTCCCTGGAGGAAGCTGTCCTTAGCGAGATGTCAAAATGAGCCCAGGAAGCATGGGGGTGAGGGGCAGCAATGAGAGAAAGGCTGCAGCGCTGGAGGACTGGAACACAGGATGGGAGTAAGGGAAGGCATGAGATGGGGCCAGGGTGGAAGACAGAGAGCAGGCAGGGATCAGGGTGGGGAGCTGGTGGTTGGATCATACCTAGGTTTCTAACTTGTCAATGAGTGATGCTCCACTGGGGAAAGGGAATATAAGAGGAAGGAAAGGTCTGGAGGGAAAAATAGGCTTTCCATTTTGAATTTGTTTAGCCTGAGATGCTCTGGGACATTCAAAAGGAAATGTCCAAGAGGCATGTGGATTCCTGAGTCTGGAGCTCAGAAGAGAGAGTTGGGCTGGAGATAAGAACAGGAGCCAACAATGTAGAGACTGAAACCATGGTTTAGATGAGATTACCCAGACAGCAAATAAAACACTTACAGGCCAAGCAGAGGATGACTGAAAAGCTGTCACTAGAGACATAGGTAAAAAAGAGTAATGTAATGACTCAGAGGCCAAGGAGAAAAGGCCTTTAGGAAGGATGGAGTTACTGATGTCAAGTAACTGTTCAGACATCAAGTAAGATGAAGCATGAAACGCATCCACTGGATTAGGACAAGGTGACCTTGGGAGGGTAGTTCTGTGAGTGTGTAGGTATAGAATAATAAGGCATTGGAGCAATGATTTTTTGGAAGTAGATTGCCAGGCTTTCTTCAGAGGTTCCTCTGGGTGGACTCAAACCTCCAACCTTTCAGTCGGCGGCTGAGCATGTTAACCATTTGCACAAACCAGCCACTTCCACTAAACCAAAAGCTTTCACTTTGTGCCATGTATTTCATCAAGATTCACCAGCTCTTCACCTGAGAAGGAAAGGGTGAGGGAGAGATGGGACCTCTCCAGACCACCTACCGCTGCTTGGGTGGGTTGCTGCTTCTTATTCCGTTTTGGCCTTAACTTGGTAAAGTGCTCCAGCTTCTTCCCTTCCTCGGAGGGTAACTCTGAGATGAATCCTGAGCTCCGCTTCTCTTGTTTGATGGATGGGAAGGGTGGGTCTTCAATGTGAATCGGTACCTCTTCCAGTGCTTTATCCAGATCAAACTCCATTTCTAAAATAAAACAGAGCCCCAGATCAAAACTTATTGCATATAGACTGATAAAAACCAAATTCCCCAAAGTAATTTTAAGTCTCTCAGGGCACAGAAAAGCCCCTTTTACAAACCACTGAACTTTCTCAATATTTACCCACAAGTAATATTTGTTGTTAAGGAGCCCTAGTGGCACAATGGTTAAGCACTAGCTGCTAACTGAAAGGTCGGAGGTTTCGACCCACCAGCCGCTCTGTGGAAGAAACATGTGGCAGTCTGCTTCCATAAAGATTTGCAGCCTTGGAAACCCTATGGGGCAGTTTTACTCTGCCCTATAGGGTTGCTATGAGTAAAAATTGACTTGACGGCACACAACAATATTTGTTGTTAGTTGCTGTCGAGTCAATTCCAATTCATGGTGACCCCACATGTGCAGAATAGAACTGCTCCATAGTGTTTTCAAATGTCACTGAAGTGGTCCAAGGTTCTTGCTGACGGGTGTTTCATAACTACAAGGAAATGATTGGCATTAGCAAAAAACACTTACCAAAGGCTCTGGAAACAGGCCGCAGCATTCGGCTATGGATGCTCTTCCTTTTGGATTTAGGAGTCATCTAGCAATAAAATAATGACAGCACTTAGAGAGTTAATCACAGAAAGCTTGCCTTTCAAATCTCAGAGCATTCCGGTAGATAGTTTAAACTTAGTGCTTATTTCATTTCTTTAAAGGATGGTTTGGTAATATCTGATAGTCTGACTGAGAAGACTAGAAAAATACATTTATAAATGTTTACAATTTTCTCAAATGATACATCTGTCTTCTCGATTTTTCCTCAGTCCTAATCAGTTAAATTTGATTTACATAGCTGGAAGGAACAATGAATGTTACAGAACTTAACTGCAAGCTGTATATGAGGATGCTAAAATAAAGAATACAACCGAAAGATTGTAAAAAATCAGTCACCAATTATTAAACGCACTTATTCACCATTCATCACATTTCTGCCACCAAGATTTTTAATCTTTACATTATAGGCAAAGACTAATTGGGAAAAGCTGCCATGATTCAAGTCTCCATCTGCTGTCACTTCTCAGTAAGATGTGTTTGATCCTGTCAGTTCTTTAAAAATGAGACCAAAATCCAAACCAAAGCCAACATTTCCTAAGGATACATTCCTAGCTTTGGGGTCAACTGTTGGTTATAAAGAGGCAACACTAAAAAAAACATTGTCCTCTCCCTGAATAGGATCACACAAATGTTAAAGGTGGAGAGAAGCCTTGTCATCACCTACACAAACTCAAAGGAAGAAACGGGGCTGTCAGTAGGAAGAATGCCAGGGACAGTTACAGAGGTTAGCCCAGCATTCTTCCTACCATATCACTCACTATCTCAATATACAGAGAGATTTTAGGTATGTTTCAACTTGTTTAATAGATACTGGAAATTGGTATTTATGTAGGCTGAGATAACATAACTAAAAGAACTTAGTTTGTAGATTTTCATTTCATTTAATAGGTTTCTCAAAAAGTCCACGTGGTTGAAAACTTTCTTTGGTTCAAAGAATGAACTGGTTCACACTGACCTTTAAAGCAAACAACATTACCATTTTGACAATTATGCCAATTTTAATAATAATATTCTTTTGCTATTACTTATTGTTGGGAGAAAAGGGAGAGAAAAATAATGAGCAATTGTATTTAAATCCAGACTGATCTTCCTGAAATATACAATGAAAGTTGCTGATTTGATTCTTTTAAGATTTTGTTAAAGGCAGACAAACTGAGGAATATCTATTTATAAAGCAATAAGCTTAGCAGACTCTATATTAACATAGTCAGTTGATGTCCTTGATATAAAGAGTCAGTTCAATGCAAATGGCAAGGAATCCAGTTTTAATGCAGTTCTGCCCAAAATTGGCCTTGCAGTAACCTGGAGAAGTTAGTGGCCTGACTGGTCTACTCATAAGTGAAACCTTTGAAAATAATTAATTCTCAGGAGATATAAACTACCAAAATATATGCTGTGTTTAGTCTTGAAAAGCTCTTCAGTATTCTATCCACCTTATGCACAACTATGGTAGATAAAAGGATCAAGAAGTAGCTTGAGATATAATTTCCAACCAATTTCAGTTAAACAGTTGCAAATATATATCAACGAAGTTTAAAAAATGAATGGAATGAAGATGTCCTCCAAATTTTTTTCCTGTGACTCTTGATTACATTTTATAGAAAGGGGTTAGTGGGCAAAGGTAATCTGGCTCCCTATCGTTAAAGCCTTTATAACAGATACCAAACACATGTAAGACACATGAAAATCATGACATTTCAAATATATTACGTTCATTTTTTAAATATATGAAAAAAATCCATATCCCATATATAGAAAGAGTCCCATTTACAGATGAGTGTGAGTTTGAGTTATTTACAAACTTCTTGTTGTTAGGTGCCATCGAGTCAATTCTAACTCATAGTGACCCCATGTATAACAGAACGAAACACTGCCCGGTCCTGCACAATCCTCACAATCGTTGTTATGCTTGGGCCCACCGTTGCAGCCACTGTATCAATCTGTCTTGCTGAGGGTCTTCCTCTTCTTCGATGACCCTCTACTTTACCAAGCATGATGTCCTTCTCCAGGGACTGGTCCTTCCTGATAACATGTCCAAAGTATGTGAGACGAAATCTCGCCATCCTTGCTTCTAAGGAGCATTCTGGTCGTACTTCTTCCAAGACAGATTTATTCGTCCTTTTGGCAGTCCACGGTATATTCAATATTCTTCGCCAACACCATAATTCAAGGCATCAATTCTTCTTCAGTCTCCCTTATTCATTGTCCAGCTTTCGCATGCATATGAGGTGATTGAAAATACCATGGCTTGGGTCAGGCGCACCTTAGTCCTCAAGGTGACATCTTTGCTTTTAACACTTTAAAGAGGTCTTTTGCAGCAGATTTGCCAAATGCAATGCGCCTTTTGATTTCTTGACTGCTGCTTCCATGGGTGTTGATTATGGATCCAAGTAAAATGAAATCTTTTACAACTTCAATCTTTTCTCTGTTTATCATGATGTTGCTTATTGGTCCAGTTGTGAGGATTTTTGTTTTCTTGATGTTGAGGTGTAATCCATACTGAAGGCTGTGGTCTTTGATCTTCATCAGTAAGAGCTTCAAGTCCTCTTCACTTTCAGCAAGCAAGGTTGTGTCATCTGCATAATGAAGGTTGTGAATGAGTCTTCCTCCAATCCTGATGCCCTTTTCTTCTTCATATAGTCCAGCTTCTCGGATTATTTGCTCAGCATACAGATTGAGTAAGTACGGTGAAAGTATACAAACCTGATGCACACCTTTCCTAACTTTAAACCACACAGTATCTCCTTGTTCTGTTCAAATGCCTGCCTCTTGATCTATGTACAGGTTCCTCATAAGCACAAGTCTGGAATTCCCATTCTTCACAACGTTATCCATAATTTGGTATGATTCACACAGTCGAATGTCTTGGCATAGTCAATAAAACACAGGTAAACATCTTTCTGGTATTCTCTACTTTCAGCCAGGATCCATCTGACATCAGCAATGATATCCCTGGTTCTACATCCTCTTCTGAATCTGGCTTGAACTTATGGCAGTTCCCTGTTGATATACTGCTGCAGCCACTTTTGAATAATCTTAAGCAAAATTTTACTTGTATGTGATATTAATGATGTTGTTCCATAATTTCTGCATTCGGTTGGATCATCTTTCGTGGGAATAGGCATAAATATGGATCTCTTCCAGTTGGTTGGCCAGGTAGCTGTCTTCCAAATTTCTTGGCATAGATGAGTGAGCGCTTCCAGTGCTGCATCTGTTTGTTGAAACATCTCAATTGGTATTCCGTCAATTCCTGGAGCCTTATTTTTCGCCAATGCCTTCAGTGCAGTTGGACTTCTTCAGTACCATCAGTTCCTGATCATGCGCTACCTCCTGAAATGGTTGAACGTCCACCAGTTCTTCTTGGTATAGTGACTTTGTGTATTCCTTCTATCTGCTTTTGATGCTTCCTGTGTTGTTTAATATTTTCCCTGTAGAGTCCTTCAATATCACAACTCGAGGCTTGACTTTTATTCAGTTCTTTCAGCTTGAGAAATGTCAAGCATGTTCTTCTCTTTTGGTTTTCTATTTCCAGGTATTTGCACATGTCATTATAATATTTTACTCTGTCTTCTCGAGCCACCCTTTGGAATCTTCTGTTCAGCTCTTTTACTTCATCATTTCTTCCTTTTTGCTTTAGCTACTCGAAGTTCAACAGCAAGTTTCAGAGTCTCTGCTGACATCCATTTTGGTCTTTTCTTTCTCTCCTGTCTTTTTAATGACCTCTTTCTTCATGTATGATGTCCTTGATGTCATTCCACAACTTGTCTGGTCTTTGGTCATTAGTGTTCAATATGTCAAATCTATTCCTGAGATGGTCTCTAAATTCATGTGGGATATACTCAAGGTCATACTTTAGTTCTCATGGACTTGTTTGAATTTTCTTCAGTTTCAACTTGAACTTGCATATGAGCAATTGATGTTCTGTTCCACAGTTGGCCCCTAGTTTTGTTCTGACTGATAATATTGACCTTTTTCATTGTCTCTTTCCACAGATGTAGTCAATTTGATTCCTGTGTATTCCATATGGTGAGGTTCATGTGTATAGTTGCTGTTTATGCTGGTGAAAAAAGCTTTTGTAACGAAGAAGTCATTGGTCTTGCAAAATTCTATCACACGATTTCCGGCATCATTTGTATCATCAAGGCCATATTTTCCAACTACTGATCCTTCTTCTTTGTTTCCAACTTTTGCATTCTAATCACCAGTAATTATCAATGCATCCTGATTACATGTTTGATCAATTTTAGACTGTGGAAGTTGGTAAAAATCTTAAATTTCTTCCTCTTGGCCTTAGTGGTTGGTGTGTAAATTTGAATAATAGTCCTATTAACTGGTCTTCCTTATAGGTGTATGGATATTATCCTATCACTGACAGCATTGTACTTCAGGATAGATCTTGAAATGTTCTTTTTGACGATGAATGCAATGCCATTCCTCTTCAAATTTTCGTTCCTGGTATAGTAGTCCATATGATTACCCGATTCCAAATGGCCAATACCAGTCCATTTCAGCTCACTAATGCCTAGGATATTGATGTTTATGCGTTCCATTTCATTTTTGACGATTTCCAATTTTCCTAGATTCATACTTTGTACATTTCACGTTCCAATGATTAAAGGATGTTTGCAGCTGGTTCTTCTCATTTTGAGTACTGCCACATCAGCAAATGAAGGTCCAGAAAGCTTGACTCCATCTGTGTCATTACAAACTAATATCCATCTATAAATGGGTAATTCAGTTTAAACTAATTTTAGAGACACCGAGAAACATACAAAAACATCGGGATTTCTGGTGATTGACATCAATCAAAAGGGAACAAGTCTGCTCCTCTCCATCCATCTTTCTATTGCATCAAAAACTAGTATGCAAAGCGTGAATATCAGAAAAATGCATTCTAAAGTGTTTCACTGATTTCCTTTAGCTAGTGAGCTCTTTACAAGTGTAAATAACTTCTAGTTGCATTTCACCGTATTTGACATATCTCTT